TATTGTTTTACTTGGTCTCCCCAGTGACTCACATCACAAGAGTTACTATCCAATAACTGGAGGGAGGGGGAAGGAAAGGGAGAAAATTCAGAGGTTGGGCCAGGAGGATGGAAGAAGGGAGGAGCTAGGAGTTCGAAAGAGAGAGAGGGAGAGGCAAAAGGAGAGGGAGGGAGAGAAAGAGAGAGAGAAGGGAGGGAAGAAGCAGGAGGAAGGAGAGAGGGAAAAATAAAAGGAGGTGGAAGAGATGGAGGCGAGAGAGGAGACAAGAGAGGATAAAGCAGAGAGGAGGGCATGATCAAGGAGACAGAGCAAGCTAAGGAGAGGGCCAGGGTGTTACAGAGAGGCAGGATGCAGAGCGGGCAGCAGAAAGAGGTGCAGCGGAGAAAACCACTCCAAACCAGCAGACAGGGAGGAACGATGGAGGAGGGTACCTGCCGATACTAGAAAGAATCGCTTCCATTATTTATTGATTAAATAATTCTTTATTCAGTATTTTACACACAGTCTTGCATTTTAACCTTACGATAACTTTAAGAAATCAGTATTTTCCCATCTCACATATGATGGAGCTCAGGCTAAGAAAGAGATGTGGCAAAATCAGTACTTGAACCCTTGTTGTTAAGTAGGATTCATACTGTCTCTAAAAGAAGAGCGAGCGGCAGAGACCACACTCTCTCCTTCTAGACAAGGAGAGCATTTGTGCTGGTGTACATAGCTGCCCCAAATAAAAACTACACTTCGCAGCATGCCTTGCTGGTAGATGTGACTAAGTTATGACCAATAGGAGAGCAGCTGTGGCTATTTCCCAGACCTCCATTACTTAATAACCGCTTCCTGCTCTTTGCACTCCTTCCTTCATCCCTTGTACTTCTTGTTGTCAGGAACATGGGTGCCAAAGACTCGGATATCCTGAGGACAGCAGGCAGTAAGCTGGTGAGAGCTGCTCCCTGAGGAACTGAGCTCCCAGCTGCTGCACCAGCCCGGGGGTGCCTCCTCTGGACTTGCATGTGACAGGGCAACAAATGTGTATCTTGGTTAAGCCAGGATAGTATGGGGGTCTCTACCTCAGGATGCTAAATCTAATCCTAAATAATGCAGAGGGTGAAAGGGAGAAAAGAAGGCTCCATAAAGAAAATAATTTTGTAATCTTCTCTTCTATCAAGAAAATTCTTCAAAGAAAGCAAAATAGCTTTTCTATACATTTTTGCTCCATCTAGGTTGTATATATCTGCTGGGTTTTTCTTTTCAGTCTTATTTATCTATTTTCATTATGAGGCTTTTAAAAAATTTTTAGGAATTGGTTTGGGCAGCAAACATTGATGTTGGACTGCTTGCTAGAAAACTCTTTTTAGGTCCTGGCTTTATTTATTATTTATTGCATACCGACTTTGGGTTAATAATTCATCTTAGGGCAGACCCTAAGGGAAAGAAGACTTTGATTACAGAGTCCTGAGAACTTTAAGAAAAGTATAACATCATTAACCCCTTTTGAATTTACCATAAATCCTAAATGCAATAAGACTTTAAAGATATGATTTCTCAGCCACTATGTTTACAACGTTCTGATGCTGGAGTAGCAAAATAATGTGATCTGGAAATGTACACCCAACATACACAGTCATAATTACGATCACGCCACAGGACCAAGAAGAAAGCAAAGGAGTTGGGATGTGAAAGTGTCTCATAAAAGCTCATGGTGCTCTTGGTGATGTATATCCGGACCAGTAGTGTACATATTCTGAAGCCGAATGTGGAAAATTCATGGGCATCAGGACGCCAGAGGTTTCATTCCAACCAGACATCTTGGTGGGTAAGTTTCACAGATGGACGTTGATGCGCCCTAGTGAGAACACTGGCAGCTCTCTTAGAAAAAGGATGCTTAATAAACACACAGAAACAACCCAGCAAAGACAGATGTGGCATCATGGGTCGTGTGCCTTGTTTATAACATGCCTTTTCTAAGAGGTCACTTCTAGTCTTAAAGTCTTCAAATGGGCATCCAGTCCTGGCAGCTGCCTTGATATATCACTTTGTATAATAATCCTCATTTGAGTTTAAAATAGGAAGGTGACACAGATTCCAATTAGAAATTGTGTTACATAAATAATTTTCTCATTATGTAGCTTTCACTTTTCAAATGGCTGTTATACATGGCATTTTTAGTATTTTAATTCTTGAATTCAACCTGTCTCTAGTCGTACACATCGCACCAGTTGTGATTAAAGACTATGCTTAACAAACTGGAGAAGAAGAAATTCTTGGCAAGGAAAGAAGGAGTGTCTCACTCTCCCTTATAATCTCTCTCTCTCGGTAACACTTATCAGGGCCCCAATGTGAGAAGGGGAGAGATTTTAACTTTATGTCAGCTTAGAAATATTGATGATTTTCTGGCATTCAACATTGTAAGTTGTTGAACTGAAACTTTCTTGAGAATTAAAGTGACATAGGTCTTGCTGTTACATAAGAGTTAGCCCAAGAGCCATCAGGCCCGTCAGAATTTTCATCCAGTGGCAAAGGAAATACTGTCTTCATTGAGCAGGTTTAATGGTTCAGTAGGAGATAAAGTTTACTTGAAGGTTTATTTCATGATCTCCCATCAAGGAACCTGCATGCTCGATGAAATATTAATGCTACAGTGATATTTGCTTTTGAAACTAGAACATTCTCCAGCTGAGTGAGAGAGAAGAGATCAAAGAACTTCATCCTATTTCCTTGTTTGTCTAACCACGGAGCTTCAAGGGAGTTTCCTGAATTCCTCTGGAATTTCAGAGAGCCGGGAAAACAAAAGACACAGTGCTAGCAAACCCAGCCAGCCAATGACATATTCAGGAAAAATCCAGGTAAGCGAAACCCAACCAGGAGCAAACACAACAATGACGGCAGCTGACTGGCAGGGCCCTTGAAAAATACAGACCTTGACCTTCCAAGACTGTTGGTGACTCTATTCACTAATTACCTTTTTTTTTCAAATGGAGAAATAGTGTGTATGGGTGAAGAAGAGAATATGAAAATTGAGCTGCGACTACCCCTGCACCCTTGAAGTAGGGGAGTGGGCAGACTCCCCCACGTCATCTCTAACCTTCTCGTACTCCCAGGTCACGGTGTAGACAATTTGACCACCTTGCCTGACTTCATTCCTTGTTCAGAATCTATCCTCAGTCTACCCCTGGTCTGTCTGACTGACTCCCATTTCCTGGCAGCTAATTTTAATATGCAGCTAAGAAATTATAAATATCAAAACAGCAGAAATGTTGCATATGCACATTATGTCAATTAGAGTTTTAAAAAATATATGAATGAGTATTGGAGTTTAAGAATAAGTAGTATTTTTAAATACGTCCTACTTTAAAGAAATTACCATGCTTTAACAATGTTACTCTTTTCCAATTATGGAAGTAACTGATATTTATTGCAACACATTTTAGTAAATCTAAAAAGGTGAGAAAAGAAATATCATCCGTAATCTCACTCCTTGATAACCACTGCGCTGGATTAGATGAAAGCCTCAACTATGACCCTCTCTTTGCAGCAGGTGTATACACCCACACCTTTGCCCTGGGCCCTCTGCTGTGCCTCTCCATGGGCAGAAGCATTTGGGGGCTGGCCAGCTGATTTTCTTTAACCAACGGGATGCGGGCAGAAGTGGCAGCATGCCACCTACAGCCAGAGGATACAGGAATCATTGAGTGTTTCTGCCTGTTCGCTTAAGCTCCTGTCCATGTTCTCCTGGGAAAGAGTAGTCCCAGACAGTAGCTGTTCCTTCAGCCTGTGTCCCAGAATGAAAGACTCCTGAGGCAGAACAGAGCCCTGTTTACCTGCAATGGACGCCCATAGCCCTCAAGCAAGGTCACGAGGCAACAAGTGCTTGTTTTGGGTAGATATGAGATTTTGGTGATGTTTGTTGCTACAGCAAAAGCTGGTTCATAAAACCACTATTAGCCTCCTTCTCGTGACCCACTCCCCATTTAATTTAACAATCCTTTCAAATGGAGCTTTAGCTCTGATTTGTAAAGTATGCCATTAAAGTAAAGGTCATCAAATTCAAATTTTGAAAAATATAATCAGAATAGTAGCAGTTTCAGCAACTGTGCCACAAAAAGAATGATAAAGGAAGCTGATGTTTTTACATGGAGGGGGAGGTTCTAAGGCAAGGCAATATAGAAGGATTTATAACAATCAGAGCTGCAAAAATACAGAATGGGCTGCCTTATTCGGGAGTGGTCTACCCAAAGGAGATGAGTTCACACAGGGACTGAATGAACACTTGCAGGAATCTTATTGCTGGAATTCATGCATTGGTGGGGAGCCTGGTGTGGATGATCTTGATAGTTGTACACACATTCCAAGTTTCTACTCTTTACTTATAACTACCTAGAAGTTTGAAATCATGTTTTTTCTTCCAAATAAAATAAATGTCACTTGTATTTTCAGTTACTTAAATGATATAGATTACACCCAACTGCTAGTGAGAGTATACCATGGATTACAGGCCTTACAAAAACTTCAGAGTTTATGAAGCTCAATGCCAGCATTAAGAAAAAAGTAGTAAAAATGAGGTAGGGGTTGTGTCAGTGATTGCTTATATAGAAACTTCTCTCTAGTCAACTCAATTCCATGAAGACTTACTCGCGAAACATATATAGGAACTTGTAATCAGCCAACTTTGTTTTAAAAAAATATAAACCACTAGATTCATTACTTGGTTTTGTTTTCAAGTACACACACACCCACACACATGCAGGTGCAAGGCTGCAAACTACAATGGTGCACCTTCTCTCTTCTGCCATGTCCCGCACATTTGAAATTTTTAAAAGTATTTTCTACTCTCAGTATACAACTAATGAAAAGCTTAAATTATACTTCCCTACAACACTCGTGCTTGGTCTTTATTATTTTAGAAATTTCTCAGGTCAGCTTCAATATCATGATGTAAACGTCTGCCATCCTTCCCACTTTGGCGCCACTTGTCTTATTTTTTCTACTCTCCACAGTTCACCAACCTTGACGATTTTGTCTTTTCTTCCTCCTGGGGCTAATCCTCAGTTCTGAGCCATCCTCTGGTCCCCTGGCTTTCATCTTCACTGGATTCTCTTATCCTTAACCGGTGAGCCAACTCCTAGACTTCTACAGTTCACAGAGATTCAGTCACCAAAGAAGTATTTTCTTAGAGCCTGAGGAAAAAAATAATGGGAAATGCAGCACAAACTACTTGCCTTTCTACATCTTTTTTTTCTATTGTCTTAGTAATATTAAAACCTAATATAATCAGATCTAGATTTACTCATAATTAGTTATACCAAAAAACCAAAATTACAAAATTCTGTCAGCATCAACTTAGACCTCCTTAGCATGTTTTTAAGTGCTTTGTCCTTAAAGCTGGCTTCGAGCGAGTGCCTAACAGACCCATGAGATGTTCTAATTCAAAACCATGGCCATCTCAAAGGAAAGCCCTAATTTCAGTACAGAATCACTGAAGAGCATGGCTGCCACACAGAGTAATAGAAATCTAGAACAGCAAAGAGGCAAGAGTCTTAGCCACAATGGTGCCATTTATAATCAGGAACAGATTTCATCATTCTCAACGTATTTTTTTTTTAATTTTCATAAAGTCCTGAATTAAAAAAGCCTTCTCTATATTATTATCTCAGATATATACATGGATTTGGTATAACCTACAAAGGATTTCAGACTCTTGTGCCCCAAATTGGCAAGCAGGTAAGAAAAAACAGTCTTAAATGTTAACTTCCCAGGCCCATTTGGCTTCACTGGGTGTCACAACAAACATTTACGGAAGAATTAATACCAATCCTTCACAAACACTTCCAAAAAATGGAAGAGAAAGTGCCTCCCAACGCATTCTATGAGGCTAGTATTACTAAAACCAGGTAAACATAAGAAAAGAGGAAAACTACAGACAAGTATTTTACAAATATAGATGTAAAAACTCTCAACAATATATATAAGCAAATGAAGTCCAGAAACATAAAAAAAGGATTATATACCATGACCAAGTAGGATTTAGCTGGGAATGCAAAGTTGGTTTCACATATGAAAATCAGTCAATGCAACGCACCATATTTATAGCATAAAGGACAAAAAATACATGATCGTTTCAAATAGACACAGAAAAGCATTTGACAAAATCCAACAGCATTCCATGACAAAAACACTAAACAAACTAGGAAAAGAACTTCCTCAACCTGACAAAGGGAATCTATGAAAAACCCAGAACTAACATAATACTTAGTGGTGAAAATCGGAAAGTTTCACCTTGAAGATCAGAACAGGACAAGGATATCCGCTCTCATCACTTCTATTCAACATTGTAATGAAAGTTCTAGCCAGGAAAACAGACAACAAAAAGACATAAAAAGCATCCATATTGGAAAATAAAACCAGCTCTACTCACAAAGGCGTAATCCTGTATATACAAAATCCTAAAGAATCTACACTAAAAAAAAAACTATTAGAACTAATAACTGAATTCAGCAAGTTTGTAGGATCCAAGATCAAGATATGAAAATTAATTGTATTCCTATACAATACCATGAAGAAATCAAAATGAAATTAAGAAAAAAATTCTACTTACAGACGCAACAAAATAATGAAATAACTAGGAATAAATTTAATGAAACTCCAAGATTTTTACACTGAAGCCTACAAAACATTGTTGAAAGAAATTAAACATCAAAATAAATAGAAAGACATCGCATGTTCATGGATTGGAAGCGTTAACATTGTTACAATGGCAAAATTCCCCAGAATGATCTACAGATTCAATGCAAACTTTTGAAGAAATTGGCAAGCTGATCATAAAGTTTATCTGAAAATGCAAGGGACCCAGACTAGACAAAACAATCTTGAAAAGAAGAACAACGCTGGAGAGCCCAAATCTGCCAATTTCAAAACTTACTGAACAGCTCCCGTAATCAAGACAGTATGGTACTGCTATAAGTATAAGCATGTAGATCAATGGAATAGAATTAAGAGTCAAAAATAAATCCCCATAGGGGCCGGCCCCATGGCCAAGTGGTTAAGTTTGCACACTCCACTTTGGTGGCCCAGTGTTTCACCGCTTCAGATCCTGGGCACGGACATGGCACAGCTCATCAGGCCATGCTGAGGTGGCGTCCTACATAGTGCAACCAGAGGCACTCACAACTAGAATATGCAACTATGTACTGGGGATATTTGGGGAGAAGAAAAAAGAAAAAAGAAAAATGAAGATTGGCAACACTTGTTAGCTCAGGTGCCAATCTTTAAAAAAAAAAGAAATGAAAAGAAAGAAGCATCTCTTTAATTAAAAAATAAATAATTGCTGGTTCGGATGGATCCTGGGTGTGGACATGGCACAGCTTGGCAAGCCATGCTGTGGTAGGAGTCCCACATATAAAGTAGAGGAAGGTGGAGACGGATGTTAGCTCAGGGCCAGTCTTCCTCAGCAGAAAGAGGAGGATTGGCAGCAGTTAGCTCAGAGCTAATCTTCCTCAAAAAACAAACAAACAAAAAAAATTAAATAAATAAATTAAAAAATCTCTATGTTTATGGTTAACAGAATTTTGACAAAGGTGCAAATGGGGAAAGAATAGCTTTTTAACAAATGATGCTGGTAAAATTGGATAGCCCCATGCAAATGAATAAACTTGGACGCCTTCCTAATAGCATATGTATAAATTATCTCAAAGTGGATCATAGATTTAAATCTAAGAGATGAAACTATAAAACTCTTAGAAGAAAACATAGGGGTAAATCTTTGTGGCCTTGGATTAAGCAATGTTTTTTTTAGATATGAGACCAAAGGCACAAGTGGCAAAAGAAAAAAGTAGACAAATTAGACTATATCAAAATTTAAAACCTTTGTACATTTGTACGGTTGATACCATCAATAAAGTGAAAAGATAACCCACACAATAGGAGAAAATATTTGCAAAACATATGTTATAAGGAACCAGTATCCAGAATATATAAAGAACCTTTACAATTCTATGATAAAACAACAATCCAACTAAATAATGGGCAATGGATTTGTATAAGACAGTTCTGCAAAGAAGATATACAAATGGTCAATGAGCACATGAAAAGACGCTAGACATCATTAGTCATTAGGGAAATTCAAATTACAACCACAATAAGATAACACTTCATATCCACTAGGATGGCTATAACCAAAATTCAGACAATAAAAGGTGTTGGTGAGATTATGAAGAAACAGGAAACTTCTACAGTGCTGGTGGGAAAATAAAATGCTACTGTCACTTTGGAAAACGATTTGGCAGCTCTTCAAATGTTAAAATTAGAGTTACCACATGACCCAGAAATTGCACTCCTGTGTATATACCCAAAGAAAATGAAAACATACATCCACAAAAAAACTTGTACCTGACTGCTCATAGCAACACTATTCATAATACCCAAAAAGCAGAAACAATACAAATGCCTATCAACTGATAAGTGGAAGAATCACATGCGGTATATCAGTGCAATGGAATACTACTTAGTGTGAAAAAGAAGGAAGTTCTGATACGTGCTACATGGCTACAACATTATAACGTTATGTTAAGTGAATGAAGCTAGTCACAAAAGACCACATCTGTATGATACTATATATGAAATGTCTAGAATAGGCAAGAAATCGATAGAGACAAGAAAGCGTGTTTGTGGTGGCCTAGAGCTGGGGGTAGGCGGGTTGGAATGGGTGTGAGGATTCTTTTGGCAGGGGAAAGGTGATGAAAATCTTCTAAAATTCATTGTGGTAATGGTTGCATAGCTCTGTGAACATACTAAATATTGCTGAATTGTACATTTTAAAGGGGTGAATTTTAAGGTTTGTGAATTATATCTCAATGAAGACGTCAAAACAAAAGTTGACATAGTCACATTGGTTCATGTTTATCATGGTCATGACATAAATTCAGAAACTGTGATTCATTCACCAAGTCTTCTTCATTTTATAACATAAAGCTTGTAGGTGCCATAAGTTTCCTCCCTATTTTTCAGGTAATCACAAAATATATTTACATCCTTTCCCATGCCCAAATTTTGATTTTATGTTTTCAACTGTCTATTGCCCATTTTTACTTGCAGTTTTTGCTGTATCCCACTGCAGGTAACAAATCTATCTTGTCACCTTGGCTGATAAAGCTACTCTCCTTGCGCCACCCTGATGGCCTCGCAGTTAAAGTTTGGTGCGCTCTGCTTAGTGTCATGGGTTTGGTTCCTGGGCAGAACCACACCACTCATCCGTCAGTAGCCATGCTGTGGCTGCAGCTTACATAGAAGAAGTAGAAGAACTGACAGCTAAAACATACAACTATGTACTGGGGCTTTGGGGAGGAAAAAAAAATGACAGAGAGAGGAAGATTGGCAACAGATGTTAGCTCAGAGCAAATCGTTCCCAGAAAAAAAAACAACAAAAACCTACTCTCCTTGGTCAACTCCCATGCTCAGTCAATCAAGATCAAAAGAATCTTTTCTCCAGGGGTCCCGGATCCAAGCTCTGAAGCTGGCGTCTACACTTCCCCTTCCCTTCACGCTCACTCATCAGGATTTGTCAATTCTTGATTCCTCTTTTAACTGTCCTTCCCTTTCTACTTCCACTCCCATCATCCTGATTCTTTATCTTACTATCTCAAGGCAAGACTGTTTCACATGCTCCTTGCCTAGCTTTTCTCCTACCTGTAGTTTCTCCTCATTTCAACTCATACTAAAAATGAATTCCTAAAATCTCTTTCGCTGTGGAATTTTTTTGCCTCAAAAATAATATTTCCTCATTACCTATCAGGTTAAGTTCAATCATTTGACACTGAAAAGCCTCCACATACTGGCCACATTCCCACTTTTTTCCATGTGATTTTCAGGTACTCCATATTCATTACCTTTCTATCCTAATCAAATTGCTCCAATTACCATCTTGAAACACATCTGATGGTCTCCAACCCCCGTATCTGTAAGATAACATTTTGCTTCCACTTTGAAATGTCTTCTTCTTTGTCTGCACCTTTCTATTTTATCTAAAGTTAAATTTCTACTCAATTAAATATTTCTTTCTCATCACCATAGTGAGGAGAGCTATGATTTAGAAAAATGCTTGAATCCCAGATTTACCACTTGTGTTAAGGTTCAAGCAAGCAACAAAACCACTCTACATTTCTAAAATGGGAACAATATCACC